CTGAATGCCAATGAAGCACGTGTTGAGGCATGTCTGGAGCGGGGCGATCGCCTCATACAGGAAAACAATCCGTATCGCAATTCCATCAAGGCCAAGCGCGATGAAACGAAACAGTTGTGGGATGAGCTCAAGGATTTGGTGAATGCACGCCAAGATGCGCTTGCTGGAGCCAAACAGGTGCATGTCTACGATCGCGTGGCTGATGAGACCATCTCGCTGATAAACGAGAAGGATGCCTCGCTCATCTCTGAAGATTATGGACAGGACTTGGAGAGCATCCAAGCGCTGGGACGCAAGCATCAAGTATTTGAGAGCGAACTTGTAGCCATCAAGGAGCAGGTCGATTCAGTGCTAGCCGAAGCTGTTAAGCTAGGCGAGATTTATCCCGACGCACGCGAGCATATCGAGGTGAAGCGCGATGAGACAGTTGAGGCCTGGACAGATCTCAAGGAGAAGACAAACGCACGCAAGAGCAAGCTGAATCAGGCTGAACAGCTGCAATCGTACTTCGACGAGTATCGTGATCTGATTGCCTGGATCAATGAGATGCTGGCCAAGATCACGGCTCCGGAGCTGGCCACCAGTGTGGCCGGTGCGGAGTTGTTGCTGGCCAGTATTAAGGACCATCATGCCGAGATCCGTGCACGTGACGAAACCTTTGCCAACTTTACGGCCAACGGACAGAAGCTGATCAAGGAGAAGCACTTCCTTGCCCATGAGGTGGAGGATAAGATAAAGGTGCTGAAGTCCCGTCATGATCTGCTCGAGCATACGCTACAGCAACGTAAGGAGATCTACGAGCTTAATCTGGATACACAGTTGTTCCTTAAGGATGCCGAGATCCTGGAGCAATGGATCAGCAGTCGCGAGCCACAGCTGAAGGATGCCAAGCTGGGTGACTCAATACCTCAGGTGGAGGATTTGTTGCGACGTCACGAGGACTTCGAGAAGACTGTGGCCGCCCAAGAGGAGAAATTCCAGGCGATTAAACGCATTACGCTGCTCGAACAGCGTTTCCGCAAGCAACTGGAGAACGAGAAACTGGCCAAGCAGAAGGAGAAGGAACGTCTTGAAAAGGAACGCCTTGAGCAGCTCAAGCAAAAGGAGCTGCAGCGTCTTAACGATGAACGTCGTCGCGCCGAGAAGCAACAGGAGCATCGCAACAATGCCGCTGCCCAAGAGAAGACGCCCATTTTCTCCACGCCCATGGTGACGATCGGCGGTGGCAGCAACAGCAGTATCAGTGCACCAGGTAGTGCCGCCCAGTCGCCAGCTATATCACAAACACAGCTGCGTCCACCCTTCCAAGATCAGCATCTGGAAGAGCATCTGAACCTGCAGAAGAGCAGCTCCAGTGGCATCTTCGGCGATCGATTGAGACGTGGCTCGGCCGATGCCAATGTGAAACGTGCCGAGAGCATGAAGGTTCAGCCCAAGCAAGCGAAACGTACGCCATCCTTTACTACGCGTCGTCGTGCCCAATCCTTCCGCAAGAACCAAAAGGGCGAGGGGTTCGATTTGCCGCCCGTCGAGATTCAAGGCATGCTTGAGCGTAAGCATGGACTGCAATCTGGTGGCAAAAAGGCACCCGTACGCTCCTGGAAGCAGTTCCATACAGTGCTGTGCGGTCAATTGGTGTGCTTCTTCAAGGACGAGAATGATTTCTTGCAGCAGAAGACGGCCACGGCGCCAGTTAATATACTGGGTGCCAAGTGCGAGCGTGCCGATGACTACACAAAGAAGAAGTACGTCTTCCGCCTAAAGCTGCCCGACGGCTCCGAATTCCTTTTCGAGGCACCATCACTGGACATTATGAACGATTGGGTACGCAAGATATCCTTCCATGCTAGTCTGCCACCAAATCTACAGCTGCTGAGCTACGACGAATCGATGAAGGTGAGTTTGAATGAGATAATGAATAGCAAATACCTTGATTGATTAACCATTTTGTTTCTCTCACTTACAGCAACAATCGAGCAGCTCGCCGGACATCAAGGTGAGCAGCAATATGGACTCGCCCGTTAGCTCGCGCAACTCCTCGCCAGACTCACAGCGTCGCTCCAGCAGTGGCCATACGTTAGACACACCCACGCCCCAAATGGCCTTCCTGCAGCGTCAAATGCAACAGCAACAGTTACAGCAGCAGCAACAACAACAACAACAACAGCAGCAGCAGCAACAGCCCCAGCCCAGTTCACCCACATCCGCTTTCGATCAGAAGCCACCGATACCACCACGAGGAGCACCACCTGTGGCCAGTCAACGTCAAAGCCAAGAGAATTTGGTAATGCTGCGCAATCGTCAAAGTTCCAGCAATGGTAAATAGCTGAAAGTTATTAACTGTATAATAGACTAACTAATGGTATCCTCTACAGATCTTACCGATGGCCGATCCGCCACGCTTCCCGCCCAGAATGGCAATAGCCGAGATGACAGTGGCGTTCTAATGCGTAACAGTGAATCCAGACAGTCGGGTAAGTAGTCCAAGGGTTATTCACCCACTGTAGTTAACCTTGTAGTTAACTGCATTTCGCTATTTGTGTTTGTACCACACACACACACWCCCACACACACAACCACATATACCTCATTGTAAACAACGTGTCCCTTTCCAAAAACTCGTCGCGTATACATATAAATTAGATAATCCGCCGCCATTGCCAACAACGATGCCGCCATTGGGCAGCAGTCATCCACATAGCCATCAGTCGCCACATGCGGCGCAGGTGCAACAACGCATCAATGCATTTAATGCAGCAGCCAATCAGCAGCAACAGCAACAACCCGACTACTACAGCAACAACATTGCACGACAACAGCAGCAGCAGCAGTTCTTGGCATCACCACAGAGAGTGCCCTCTGGACGTATCGATTCGACGCGTAAATTCATTGAGATGGAGGCGCATGCGCCAGGCAATAGCTACWGTCATAGCCACAGTAGCAGCAGCAGCAGCAGCAACAACAACAATAACAACAACAATGGCCACAGTAGCAACAGCAGCACGACAAAGCGAACGATTAACTACTCGAGCAGCAATGCGAGCAGCAATGGCAACGGTAATATTCACAACTCAACAACAACTACGACAACAACAACAACGATACAGCAGCAACAACATGCTACAAGCAGTCGCACGGTTTGGCACCTAACGAGCTCATCACCAACATCATCAACAAAATCATCATCGGGCTCCGTTGAGCATAATAATGCCATCAGTAATCCAAGCTATATGGGTCTACATTTAAATAACAATAACGACGGAATCGGTACACAAACAGAGTTATCCTAATATAAATAAGGCTTGCCTCTATATACATATATGTATCCTAGTTATACTTGAATGCGAACTGTAGCGGTTTTTGGTACTTTATCTCTCTGTCTTTCTCTTCTTTTATTTTTTCTCTTTGATTTGCATGCCAACAAATTATATATATAAATGTGAAGGTTCAACTGTAAAGCCGGTGAAAATAACGCGTCGATCCTATTTGCGCACGAGTTTGCAAAGTATACTTAAATTACAATCTCTGTCTCTATATATATATATATATGTATCTTTATCTCTTTTTACATTATATGCACGCACACTCACACACTATTTTATGTTAACAATCACATATGCTCTTTTAAGTTTGCATGCCCACTGATTCTCAGCCTTCTCAATTCGCATTTGCTAATGATCTCTTTATCTGTACTTTATGCACACAGGTTGGGGCAATTCGCGCTTTGAGAGCAACCGACCCGTTTCGCTGCAACCCGACTCGATAAGCTATACGCGCGCATCAGCGGAAAGTTCGAGCGAGAGCGAGGCTCAGTCCATTTCCTCCGTTTCSGGTGTGAAGGGCAGCAGCAGCAGCACCAGCAAGAGCAAAGACGAGCGTCGCAGCGGCATGTTCCGCATCTTTGGACGCAAGGGCGGTGACAAGGAGAAGGAGAAAGACAAGGACAAACGCCGTTCGAGTCAAACGCCGCCACAGTGAAGCAAAATTAAACAATTAAATTCCAACTAAGCTTAAAGGAAATTTCTTATTGGACAATTGCATTGGAGAGTTGAGCGTCAATTGTTTTTGTATTTTTTATAGACATATATAAATGATAAACAATATATTTAATACTTAATCCATACATTACGACACAGTAAACAAAATTCGAAACAAAACGCAAAATCGTAAATAAAAATAAAATTGCAAAATTGTGCACTAATATGTGTCTTGTAACGCTGAATGAAAAGTATAAACAATTATAATATTAAACAGTCAATGTTTTAAATGCATTATAAAAGAAAATGTAATTGTAAGTTTGTTCGTTGTATGCTTATACCTAAATATAATTTTCGTAAAAAAAGATAAAAAAGAGAGTAAACAAAACCAATAAAAATTATTATATTATATGTGAAACAAAAAGAAGATTAGAATTTATATGGCTGGGCTAACCTTATAGCTATGAATTATATTAAAATTCACAATGGAGATTTATTGATTGAAATTGGAATGTCGAAGAGTAGTTTTTAAAAAGAATTAAATATTGCAGATTGGACAGCTTTGGTGTTTTCTTATATTTTTGTATCAAATCTTTTCAGATAGTTTTACTATCAAAATATTTTTCAATTGCATTTGCCAGTAACCGATTTCATGCCAAGCTAACAAAGCCAATTTAACATAGTTTCGTCACTGTTATCGTTAAAAATTGAACAATAGATGGCGCCAGCGCAGCAATCTGCATTGATCAACTCGTCGCTAAGCAAACGACTTTAATTTATATTTTCGAAGCATTTTATATGCATTTTATTGCTGGCAAGTAATTCATCGCTTAACTCTAAGTTCTATGGTTAACATATTCATAATGATAAGATCAATATTGTATGGAAAGGGCCCTTCCACCGATTTTTACATATTTTTCGTATATCCTTATTCTATCAAACAAAAAATGCAATAAAAACAACAAATTCGAGTAGTCAACTATACAAATCCGGCTCTATAACGAGGTCGATCAGTTTTCGGGTTTAGCCATAATGCGCATAGAGATTGCCATGAGTCGATGTGGATTTGAATTGAACAAGATTTCCGTGTGTCTGCATCGGCTGCTGGTAGTAGGCGGCTTGATGGTAGAGTGCAGGTGAAGCGGGCTCATTTACCTGGATCTGATGATAGTTGGTGATGGGCTCATGCTCGACCACCTCGCGCACCGTCTGGAATGGATGATTGACCACGATGCGGCGTTTGTGGAATGTTTCGCTGGTGGCCGCCGCATCGGTGGGCGCCGCTGTGGCTGAGATGACGCGCTCATTGGGCTGCAGATGACGATTGAGATGGCCAGCGGCACCATTCAGGGAGACGTCCACATCGAGCGGCTGCTGTGCGGGAGTGGGCGTGGCCTGTGTGGTGGGCACAACGGGCGCGGGTGCGGGTGGCTCTACCAAGCGCTGGAACTGCTGCTGCGGTTGATACTGCTGCAAGCGCGAGGATCGCTCCTCTTGCTGCTCCTTCTGCTGGTCACAATCCGGCTTGAGTGGCGTAATCGTGGCCGTGGCTACAATGGATTGATCGCGATCATCCTGATGCGGAATTTGCAAATTAATTTGCGCCTTGGCAGCTGGCTTCGGTTGCTTTGTTGCCTCCACTAAGCGGCCGCTGGACGACTCCAGCTCCGGATCATAACGCATGCGCGAATATGGAGCACTGTACTCCAGCTCTTCGGCCAGTGGACTGCGCTGTCGTGAGGACTGCTGGTAGAAGCCGCGTGGTGCAGCTGTGCGCACCGTTGACTTGGCATAGACCACGGTGGGTCCGGCATGGTTGCGTAAATATGGTTTCAGCTCGGCCACATTTGCGGGCACCTCCTGCACCTCTGTGATACGACGCTCCTTGAGCGCAGGCTGACGACTGCGGCCCAGGTAAATATTATGCTGAGATGGCGGCAAATGGATCTTGTGCTCGTGCTTAATGATCTGCGTGCGTGGCGCTGCCTCCTCCAGGCGAGCTGGCTTGGCCTCCACATTGCCAGCATTGGCATTGGGCAGGAACTCGCCACTGAAGTAATCGTCATTGCTGGGAGTCTGATATGGGGCACGATTGTAGCTATTGCGTTGATAGCCACGCTGTGTTGGATAGCTGGCCTCACTGCGTCCGTACTCATAGTCAGGCTGTTGCTCCGGCTCGACACGTGTCAGCATCTTGGGTGTGAGATGCTTCTTATTGATCTGGTATTGGTTGCCATTGCCATCGGTGGCGATGACACTCGAACTGGAGCTAGAGCTGGAGCTGGAGCTGGGACTGGGGCCTGGCAAGCTCTGACGATTGCCGTCGAGAGCATCGCTGCCTTGTCCGGGTTGCTGTTGCAGCTGCGCCTCGACATAGTCATCCTTGGGCGCCTGATCATAGCTGGGCATGGTCGTCACACTGGAGCCAATGGTGGTGCCCAATTGCTGCTCCTTCTGTGGCGTATCATAGGATGGCCTATACTCGTTGCCATTGTTGTTGTAGCTCTGTGTTTGCACCTGTCCATTGTTGTTGTAGGCGGAGGCAACGGCTGGATGTGGATGACCTAAGGGCAGCAATGTCTCACCTCTAGGTATCTTGGCCACTGGATGATCGAGCTCCACCACCAGCGTGCCAGCTGGCTTAATAACCACGCGCTCTTCGATGTCGTAGAACTCCTTTTGGATAGCCGGATGACGCACTTCGTATTTCTTGGCCTTCAGCGCCGGCTGCACAATCTGTATGGTCTTGGTGACAACGGGGCGTGGCGGTGCGGGCTGCGCATAGCCACGCTGTGGTGGCAGATAGCCGCCAGACTGGTCGGCGTAGTCATCATAGCTGGACGCCTCATCTACATTTGGTGGATACTGATCCTGATAGTCAGCCTGGGAATCGCCATAGCTGTAGCCGCCCTGGTCGTAGCTGGGTCGATTGTAGCTGTTGTCGAAGGAGGGATCGTAGGCAGACTCATTGGGAGTCGAAGCAGGCGCAGGAGCTGGCGCTGCAACCGAGCTAGAGCTAGAGCTGGAGCTKGAGCTGGAACTCGAGCCCGCTGCAGGCGCAATGGAAGCAGCTTGCACTGAGGCTGGCAGCGGGGCCTGTGGCTCATAGATGGGTTTGCTATCCGGTGCCTGCTCCACGTTGGCACTCTGGCCCTGTGGAGCTGCAGGCGCAACTACCTGACGCTCAAACATGCGCAGCTGCTGGGATTTGCTGCCACCAATGGACACAGCATCGTCGTCAGCTATGGAACTGGAACTAGAGCTGCTGCTGCTGCTGGATTGAGTATAGCGCTGAGGCGAAGGACTGGAGGATTCAAAGACCTGTGGGCAGTAAAGAGCAAAATTTATAGTGAAACTAGATTCGCAACCACAAATGTCTCCAGCTTACAGTTTCCACGGTAGGTCCATGGCTATGATAGGATTGTATGTAACGCTCGAACTCCTGATTCTGACGCAGTTGCTGGTTGCGCTGACGGAATTGTCCGCTGAGCGGCGGCTGTTGGTACAAGGAAGGACGACGACTGTGCATACGACGACGTGGCATGCGAGCATTGGGATTGACGGCAACTGGTTGAGCAGGCTGCAGACCCAAACCCTGGCGTGGAGTCAGTGGTTGCTGCTGTGATTGCATTTGCTGCTGTTGCTGCTGTGGCTGCAACTGTTGCTGCTGTTGCTGTTGCTGCTGTTGTTGTGGTCGCTCCTGCAATCTGGCAAAGCCTTGCTCCTGCTGCATTCTGTAGGGACCCGCCTTCAGCTCAGCCGGCGCCTCTCCATCAATGATGGTGACATCAGCCGGATTTGTGGCTGGCTGCTGGGCTATGGAGATGTTGACATGTGTCGCCGCATGGCTGGCGCCAACGAGCGCCAACAGCAGCAGTAACAGCGCACGACTCATCATTCTAATCCGCTCAAGCACTCACTTACTCGTCTCACTCCTCTGTGTGCGTATGTGTTCGCTGGAAATGCGCGACTGTCGAACGCGTCTCGTTGTTTGACAAACTGCGAGGCATGCGTCGCATATTTATACGCAAAGGGGAATCCGTTGGCGAGCGCTGAGTGCGAGTCCGATTACGATTACGATAGCGATCGCTAACCAATTTTACGAATGATCAGCTCAGGCATGAGCGTGTCAGTGTCAATGCCAGTGAGGCCAAAAACACCCTCCCTGTTTAGGGATATGAGATGCTTGCCCCAGTTCCACAATTTAAGGCAAACCAAGATGATGCACAGATCAATACTGTTTCGCTTTGTTTTCGTTTTCAATTTCAATTTCGATGTCGATTTGTGGCACGCGCATTTCAATTGCCAAAAATACAAAAACAGTGTAATGCTGCTTGCCGTACTTGGCGGCGTGCAACATTTTCGCTTAATTGTCGGAAGGTCAGTGCACAGGTCGCCCCAGCGCCAGCGCCTATGCGGCGTATGAGTGATGTGCGGCCAAATAGTTGGCGATTTTCGATTTGAACTTGAAATTGCATTTTCTAAATGAGATTCAACGCCTCGCACTTTAATTGTATTTTGGAATTTGAGTTTTGATTTGGTTTCGCTTCGATTTTCAGCTACAAATTGATCGTGTGCGTGTGTGTGTGTGTGTGTGCGTGTGTGTGATACACATTTGTGATACTCCGTTTGCTCAGTCAGGCACTTTTGCGCAATTGCAGTTGGCGAAGAATTTGCAAGCAAGTCCATACGTAATGCTACAGATACACTTCAATAAAGGTTAACTGTTGTGTGGGCGTCTCTCCCACTGTCCAGCCATAAACTCAAGCAAAGTGAAGTCTTGAATGGCTAAACAAGACGATCAAAATAACAAAACTGAATGGCTAACCACGAACTACGGACAATTTACAAATGAAGTACGAAGGTGCTGTTAATATACCTTTGCTTTGCAGACCAACTTTACAACAAATACAAATGATATTTGTTTATTGTGTTGTAGGCGCTAAAAGAAACAACAGCCTAGGCCAATGCACAAACAGCCTGTGTGAGCTGCATTCGAAACGAGTTTTGTGTAAAATATGTAATATTTSTGTGTGTGTGAACTTGAAAGTTAGTGCTTTAAGGGCATTTAGCCTGAACAGTTACTCAGTTTGTGCTCAGTCAGAAGGTATGCCAAAAGCATTGCACTTGATAAAGGTCGAAAGTGTTGAAAACAAGGAATTCTAGAAAGTAACGGTTTTTTTTAGAATCAACTGAATCAGTATCAGGATGATATTTTATGTTAATTTAGAAATTTAACTACAAAGCATAAACTGAGCGGGACAGTATATAAATTATTCACCAAAGAAAAACAATTTTTTTTTTTTAAATTAAAATCAAATATTGTAAGAATTTATTTTTAGTAAATTTATTCTATTTATTAGCTACTTTAATATTTATATTTACTTTAATAATCACAGAGTATTTTTCTTTTATTGTATTAGACTTATTACCATCTAGCTCAAATTCATGCCTAAATCAAAGTAAAAACTTTACAATTGAAAACTTTCCGTGCAGGCTTTGTTTTTAACTTCCAGGCGAATATTCATGCAAATTTGCATAAAACTAAATACAATGATATGAATAATATAAAGTTTCGACTTTCAATTGTTTTGTAATTGTTTTGTACATTCAGCCAAAAAGCATTTTCATGTTTGCTCTCACTCTTCAGGGCAGAAAACGTCAGAAGCAGTAATAGCCATGGCAACAGACAAAAACAACTATTAATACAATTTTCAGCTGCCAAAGGGCTAAAAATAGTGAAGTTAAGGAATTAGTGCTTAAATTAAGCTAAAATGGAGAGAAACTACGCATTTAGCAGCAACTACACCTTCTGCACATCCTGTATGCTATATGCTTACATCCTTGTATCCTTGTATCCTTGTATCCTGTATCGAGGTGAACCCACGTGCCGTGCGTATTGCATACATAAATACCAATTGAGCATACGACGTAGTTGGCAACGAGCACAATAATAAAAACAATGCGGAATACAAATATAGCGGAGACCGGGAGACTGAGTCGAGATATTTAAATCAGCTGAACGCAGGCAGGTGGGCGATGGGCTGGCTGTTTACCACGCTTGCCACACCTGATTAAAATCTATTGACACCAAAACTGGAACACGCGGCAATTTCCAGCTAACAAGGGCTTAAATAAAATAGAAGGGAAACGGAAATGGGTTCCCTCGGCTCCGCTAATGAAACCCAATTACAGGTGAATCGTCGCTAGCCGGGGCAAACAGAAACAGCTGCGACGAGTCGACGAGTCGCTGGCGCAGCTGCCGCTACACCTGTTAACGCTATTTGCATTTCAGTCAAGCTATCACCCACGCAATCCTGCACCAGTACCTCATATAGTTTATTATTATGTACAAAGGGGGAAGGACGTAAGACCCATCTCTCACTCTCATATTCTCTCTGTCTATTTCTCTCTCTGTCTTTCTCTCAGTCACCATCCAGCCTGTCTCATCTTGCGTTTTATGTGCAAGGACATGCGCAAACAACACCCCCGCCCACCTGTGCCGTCACTTGGCCGCCGCCATCCAGCCAACCCCACCCACCAGAGCAGCCCACTCTCCGGCAACAGCCGCAGCTGCTCTAGAGTTGTATAAATAAGGCGCAGCTAGGAGCAGGCAGCCTCAGTTGCTGGACCGTGTTGCTCGCGTAGTGTCCTTGTTGTTGCTCATTTGCAGAGCAGCAGATAGCAGTGCTATCCTGCCCACGTTAAACAGCCGCAAACTGTTGCGAAAAGTAGAAGCAAATAAGCAGAAGCGGAAAAGTTGCAATTGTTAGCGGAAGTTAATTCGTTTCCATGTGTTTACCCCCATTACCGATCGCCGTAATTGCACAAACTTTGGAGTATTCCACTTAAATTGAAGCCAGGTGAGAGCACTTATTTCATTTGACACCTACACGACACGTGTAATATGAAGCTACGATTCGTGCGTCTGGGTTTGTTTTGCCTCTGTTTGAGTAGGGGTTTCAATATAAACAAATAGAGCGGAGCTAAGTGGGTTTATTTAATGGGTAGCTTGTGTGGGTTTCTAGGCAATTTAAATTGTTGTCTTAAAGCTAATTAAAATGTGGAAATTGTATACAAAAAAGTAGTAAAAGTATTTTTATTTATTGTAAGTGGAGTGAAAACATTGTAAAAGCAGAGCTGAATTGAATAATGAAGTTCTTTTATAAAACATGATTTCTGAGCTATGCTCTACTACTAAAAATACATATTTACATTTATATTCCATTGTTATATTAGGGAACACTATATTCTACCATTTGAGATACATTTACATTCTATTTCTAGAAATATCCATGCACTTGATATAGGAAAGACCAATTTTTAGATAGGAAACATCCATTCACTAAATACATATATCAGGCAACAATTTACATTTATGATATGCTCTTAGAAAATTGGGAATTCTCTGCTCTAAATTTTCATATAAATTATATATTAGCGTAAGTTAATTTATGAATTTCTTGTTATATTTTATGAGTTTTGTTATAGTATATTATTATAATTGAGCTCTACTTTCTTATCACTTTGCAAAAGCCAAAAGCAACCGCTCACAGTGGCTTGTATTGCAATTAAGACTGACTGAAATATCTTTACTAAATAAAAAATATTATTATATTTATATTTTACATATATTTATATTTTTATAAAATAAGCTAAATTATTATACATAAATATATAAGAAAAATTTAAACTTAAGTACTCGAAACTTCCTTAAAATGGATATTAAATATTTACAAGCAGCTTGTAACTTGCGAACCAATTTTGACAACAGATTTGTTACATTCGGTGCTTCCAGTAGCTTAGCGCCTTTACAACACTGGCCAAGGCAAGTGTACGGTGCTACCCACTTTGAGCTGCCACTGACTTGCCAGTGTTGCAACTTTGGGTAATAAAACAAGCAAAAAAGAACATTAGCAAAGAAGAAGAGTAAAAAAAAAAATAAATAAATATATGTAGCATGAGTTGGTTCTCAATAGAGAATCATATGGCCAGCAAATAGTGGTTAAAAGCACAAATGAGCGTCACAGCGACATAGGCCGATAACAAAATAAATTAATATAGAAAGCGAAGAAAAAAAACAACATAGAAAAACCACCCTTAATTATCGTGTCCGAGCACAGTGCAACGCAGCTTTTCTAAGGGTTCGGCATTCAGTTGAACAGCAAACTTCGCAGCGGACGGTTCGCAGTTTCGATTGCGCTTCCCCATTTTCTACAACAATTTTAGCAAACTTCTCTCACACTCATACACACACACACAGAGTCGGCTAGCGAGTGCACACACACAGACAGCGTATATCAAACAGTAAATGTGTGCGTGTGCGTGTTGAGTGTTGAGTGTGTGCGTGTATTTCTCGACATTGTCGACGTTCTCCTCAAACCAAACAGTAAAAAGTAAAAAAAAAAGAGAAGAAGAAGCAGCAGCAAAAGCAAGTGCAAACATGGCCGAAAATTGCCCGAAATGCAAAAAATCAATCAACTCGAAGGATGCAATCATCATCTGCAATTCAGATGACTGCCTGAAGAAGTTCCATCGCACGTGCGTCAATATTGACGATGCGATGTACGATTTAATACAAAAGAATCCGATGATATCGTTCAACTGTGATGAGTGCAGAAATCAATCGTCGAAGGCACTGTCCGCCAAGCTGCACACCATCGAGGAGAAGGTGAACAAGGTGTGCAACGGCGTCAATCAGATCCAGGGACGCATGTACCAGCAATATTTCCAATTTGGCAATCAGCCCGTCAACAATCTCGATGGCAAAAAACATCCGCAGCAGAACAATCTGATTGTCGTTGGCAACAATTGCAACTCGGATCGATTGCAGGTCGTCTGCGACTACGGTCGTTGGGTGCAGGTGGGCAAGTTTGCGACAAACACCAGCGAGGATGACATTATCGAGCACCTTGCAGAGGAGCTGAAAATCAATAAGAATCTGGTGAAGTGCACCAAACTGGTGAAGAACGATGCCAATCTATCGCAATTGTCATATTGCAAATTCAAAATATCCATACCGGACTATCGTTTCAATGAGCTGTTCAACGAGGCTATTTGGCCGAGTGGTGTTATGGTTAGCCCCTTCACGCCACGCTCTCAGTTGAATCAGAACCGCATATAAAACGAGTGGCGAGAGCGGCAGCCGGCGAGAGCGAGACAGAGCGAGTATGAGAGCGCGCCTGCGCATCACTAAGCAAGATGGTGGTGCTAGGCACTGAGAGAGAATGACATACAGTGCGAGAGGGAGAGAGAGAGTGAGGATGGGGGTCGCTTGCCGGTCGTATGGCAACAACAACAACAACAGTTATTCATTCGATAATGTTTTTTGCCGGTTTGGCTCACAATTGTATGCAAACATTTTTGGACAACTCGACTTGGACTTTGTCTAACAACTTTCAAAGCTTACACTTAATTAAAGAAAACCAAAATACTTAACGAATTAACTTTGAAAATGCATTTTAAAATATTTTAGCGTTGCGTCAAAAATAATCTAATGGAAAACAAAAAATAAAAACAAGAAATATAATAATATTTTAATGGCAAGCCAAAAAGGAAAAAAATACTTAAGGCCGAAACATAAAGACAAAAGTAAAATATTTATAAATACATTGAAGCTTAAATAGCAAGGCACCAAAAAAAAAAA